TGCTCAAAATATTCAATTTATTTTAAATATTTTAATGTTAAATCTTTCCTTTTTGTAAATATTAACTTAGCCGTTTATTGCGTAAATTATAATTCTTTCACGTGTGTGTGTGTGCTTTTCCTCCGACCAGAGCATCATTCGACGATCACCATCGCCAATATCGCAGCAGAATATCGCAGCGTTAAAGTGTATAAAAATCTTAGTGGTGAGTGTCATTTTGCAATACAATATTATTATATGTACATTTGGATAATTGTGACCACTCGGAATATCAAAAATGATATTTCATTTTCGGGTAAACCCTAATTGATGTTCACGGGTGGTACCTGATTGATTATTAACCATCGCACAATTGTTCCGATAATTTTGTATAAACATATATACTGTAAAGTGAGAACGAAAGAACGAACAATCGTAACTAATCCAAAGAGCAAATTCTAGTACTTGGGCATAGTTCACACAGTATACTATTATAATAAAATTTATATTACTTTCAATTGTACTGCCATTCTGCTAAACCTCTAAAACTTTCTCTTCATTAAATACGATAGCCCTATTACAGCAGAAAACTGTTTTCATAATTTAAATTCTTGAATCTGCTCGAATACTAACATTTCTATCCAGATTTCACTGAGAAATTCACATACGAGACAGGGCACGTACGGGACTGCTGCGACAAAGACCTGACCTTGCCGATAGGCAAGTAAAATATATATAAACGTATTATCTTAAAATAAATTGCTGTGACGCGTGACTAATTTCTCTATCTGCGTCACGTGTCACAGCTGAATTGGTGTCAGAAGTGGGATACCATACATATATTATTTTAAAATAAATTGCTGTGACGCGTGAGCTTATTCTCTTTCTCCGCATTACACGTTACAGCATTATACATTGACACAAAAAATACTTCCCATGCCTATAAAATTAGGGGAAAGTATAAAAGATGAGAAGGCTTTGGAAAAGTTTAAACAAGTGCGTCTACCTCAAAAGACTCAATACAAAACAGGGTCGGAAAACAGGAAAGGCCCACTTGTATCACAGAGACAGGTGGGCGAAACACAAAAAATAAGACCAAAGAAGGACATAAGATTCAGACCCAAGGGGCAGTCGAGAGGGAATCAGAATAGACCACCTTACCAGAGTGTACGGCCACAGAACATACAGCATCAGGTCTACAGGAAATAGAGGTAAAAAGACTGTAGCAGGGAGATTGAGGTCCTTTTACAGGAATTGGTAAAAAATAACACGAAATAAAATGATCAACGGATCATGTAACCTGGAAACGCCAATATTAAATAAGGAAAGCAATTCCAGAAACAACGATGAAAAGGAATGAACATTTCACCAGTACCCAAAATGTAATTGGCTCGGCCGTAACAGTTTTGGGTTTAGCGGTGTCAAAATCGCTTTCTGAGGGAGACAAAGAGGTGAGTAAGTTAGATCTTTTAGAAGAGCTATTTGATACAGGAAAACTGCTAACAGATATTGTAACCGTACATTATATACGATCACATATGAAAGATTCCTACATGACCGATTACGAACAGCCAAAAGATGTCGCGGAGAACAATTCCCCTCCGCGACGTGAAAATGACATGCGCGAGCGAGATATCGTAATATCATGTCATGAATCGATCAGAAATTGTAGATTTTTCTTCTGATTCTGATTCTTATTCTTTTCGTCAACACTTAGCCAGTAGGAGTTAAGGCCGTTCGTCAATTCGTCGACTCTCGGAATCAGTCGGCAGGGCTCGTCGGCCGGAATTATAATATGCCGCTCGTTCATTTCAAACCTGTATAACCTGTCAGTTTGTATTTGTCACAGCATTTGTCATTTCTAACCTGTATAACCTGTCAGTTTGTATTTGTGACATCATTTGTCATTTCTAAACTGTATAACCTGTCAGTTTGTATTTGTGACATTTGGATGCCGCTGTTACATGCGGCCCTGCCGGTGTCCCTTTTCATCGACCTCGCATTGCGAAGAGTTAGGATCAGATACTTTTAGGAATGCGCTTGACGCACGTTTCGGAAACCGTTTCTCGGGAACCGAATCGTGGGATCCACGAATCAGCGAAATAGGCGTCAGCACTCACAAAACGAAGGTTCCCGAACGCGGCTTGTGCCATGCAAGGATCAGCTAGTATAGAAACCCGTGGACACGCCCCACGGGGCGCTCTCTTTTATTCCGCTGTCAATACGTTATCATCGTGGTGATTACCGAAATCTTGTAGTCGCGGACAGGTTAACTTCACGCGTTGTCGTTACCTACGAAAGTCCGACGTATAATCGGTTAAGATCACATCGAACCTTTATCATCAATCGAACACGCACTCAGCGTCGCGCTTTGGTCATCAAATACTAAATTATTGTAGTCACGGATAGAGTAATCGTACGCGCGCCGCGTCGTTACCGAGGAAAGTCCGTTGTTAATTAGTAGAGACCCGTGTCGCGAGTGATAGTTGCCGACAAACAGATCCTTGCAACAAAACCGATATTGTAATATAAACTCGTTATTTTGTAACAATATATATATTTATGCTAAACCTTGGAAACAATCATTGCAATCTCGAATTGCTTTTTCCCGTTAGCGAATACAATTAAGGTGAGCTTTAGCTCTTTAATTGAAGACAAAGATCCCAAGAAAGAGTCTCAGATAAGCTGGGACGTAACACCGCAAATTGAATAATTATTTTAAAGGCTACGTGTAGTGATATTGTATTGGTAAGTATATGGTTATCACTATACAAATTGTATTTGTAAAAAGAATTGAAATCAAAGAAGTGCGCCAAGCATTTGACTTCCAGGCCATGGACATCTAGGCAAAAGTCTAAACAGTCTCAGTTTGTGGTTGAGGCACTATTTAGCTTCTTCATTTCACCGCCGAAGTGCGGAGCAGTCAGTTTACATGAGTTGTCATTAGGGTCTGAACGTCTGCACTGTTGAACACAGCATTTTAGCTGCGCATAGTTGGAAAACACTAAATTTTACATTATGTTACACAGTGTCACCTTGCACTTTACTGGAGAGGACCTTCATGTACATGCCTGCTCATTTCGATTTCATACCTTTTACTACTTTCTTGAATTTTTTTAGGAGAATCTTCTATTTTTCTATCATTACTTTTTATGGCTTTATGTCCATTTTTTCATGTATTTGGCGTAATTTTTTTACTTTTTTGAAGTTTTTTATGGGGATTAGATAGAGTGGAAGGTATGCGTATACGATTTATAGCGCCCCTAGTATCCCAGAACCGAACTTTTAAGGAATCGTTTAGAGCCTGTAGAGCAAACATATGTATTATATTTTCTGTGGTACATAAAATGCGTCACAGCGGCATCTTATACGCGGGAATAAGACCATAAGTTTTCGGACGCGTCTTTGCTGGAGTTTTCATTCTTTTGTTGTGCGTCATCACCGAGTGTAGTTGTGCGTCTTGTTGTGTTTTCTGTAAATTTCGGCGTTGTTAATAACGCCGAAATAAATTTCATGAAAATATTTCTACATGTACAGTGAAATATAAATGAAAGTTTTGTATTGCAGGTATGACATGTGCTCCATCATCGACATCCATCACGAACAGTCCAAGGCGTCGTGTATCAACGTCTCAATACTTCTCACCAAAAAAAACCACGAGATTTTTACAATTCAAACGAATTATTCACAATCTACGCAGTAAGTGCAATAGATTAAGACAAAAGCAATTGAAGGAGAAGGAAAAAAAACATAAGTATTAAGTAAAATTACTAGAAAAAGTATCACGTGCTCTTTCTGCTGATACACTGACTTTAATATTATCGCAGATGAAACTAATAAACATTAGTAAATACGGATACAGGTGCGATGATAGACTAAAAGATTTCGCTCTATCATTCTCCTAAAACCTATAGATTTCTTAGGAAATCCTTGTATTTGCCGACAATACGGACATTACGTTCATATTAGCAGAAATTTCATATTTACCCTGGTATAGATACGTAAGTGTTAAACATGTTGCAAGCAAAATTTTTGACCGCTGTTGTAGAAAACAAAGTAGTCTCTGTTAGAACGGGTGCAATCTGTTTGGTACGCCACTGCAATTGCCTCCACTCAGCACCGTTCCGACACGTCACTGTCGATCCGATTTTGTTTAACAATAGTATCGATTCCGCGTAACACACGGAACGGTAATAGTTATTCTCGGTTCGCATAATTGTATTTCCGTTGTCTAGTTTATAATAAATGGTTATTAACATAACTTGTTATATTCACTGTCCTCGCACATATCTAACAGTATCGCTGCTTTTCGACGAAATTCACTTACATAGTAAAGTATACTATGATCCGCATATGGATCACTTTTACGGCAGCCGGAATGCGCGACATCTGCATTAACGTGCATTATAAGATGGATTAACAAAAATGCGAAACAGATAGTAGGATATTGGTTCCTGTCCAGTGAAAGAAATTCTAATAAAACGCAAAACATTATTCAAAAAACAGTCGTACAAGTATGTGAAATAGGTTTATACGAATACCAAAGGTAATCGTCTTCGACCAAGGGCCCCGGAATGTTGGGTTGCTTAAAACTTTAAATATTACTCCCAAAAAACCATATTTTTATTAGAAATCTGAAAAAATTTTTGTCATATTTGACCTTCCACATTTGTTAAAATCTGTAAGAAACAATTTCAATAAGAGTGACATCGAGGATAATGGAAAGATCGCATGTTGGAGGAATGTCTTAAAAATGTATGCATTTGTGACGTTCGCATATCGACCGTCCAAACCTGGGATATATTTTTTCTTCATACTAAACCGACAACAGATTAGGCATTCGTATATTCGAACGCCACGCTATACCTTAGACTGGGAAGCGTTTAGTAAGAGAGAACCTAAGCGATAACAGCTACAGGTCCCGTACAATTATACTACACGTCTGGTTTTCGATGATAAATTGTAGTAATGCTTGTCATTGCTAAGATTTCACACTTTTTAGAGTTTAAGTATAATTAAAACAGATTTAAGAGAAAAATAATGCCAGGAGAAAAGGGGAAAAGAAAACGATCTCGATCAAAGTCGAAATCAAAGGAAAGAAAGAAGCAAAGGACCGAAGATAGACTCCAAAACATCGAAAAACAGCTGTATAACCTCACTAAGTCGCTCTCGCAGATAATACAAGAGACTCCAGGTAAGCAAATATAATAACACAGTGGTCATTAATTTCCATACGAAATTAGTGTATTAAAATACAAGTGTATTTTGTCTACACATTACATACTTACATATGTAAGTGCATACATGTGTGTACGTATACTTAGGTATACTTAGGTATACGTACAATTGTCTATACGACACCAAGTTCATACGACAAACAGTCAATAAGACAGTCTATAAGACAAACAGTCCATGCGACAAACAGTCCATAAGACAAACAGTATACAATTGTATACTGTTAAGAGTATTGTAAATTAAAAGCTACTTAAAAAATTCCTGTTTTCAGTCAAATTAGGGAACAATAAAGAGAACGTTGATACTCCGAATACCTCTCAGGCAAATATAGATCAGATTGAAACAACATCAGCTGAGATTCCTGAAACGGAAGAAATTACACAGATTACGGATGATATCCCACCTATGAATGAGGGTTTTCTTGAGATGCTAGGGGAACATCCTAATACAAAAAAGGAAATTTCCATAAAAATTAATGAAGAACTTAAAATCCGCTGGCAGAAGTGGATGCGAGAAGGGTATCCAGAAGAAAACAAGAAGAATATTCTGGAAATTTATCCCCGAAAGGACGATTTATATACAGAAGCACCAAAAATTAACATAGAAATCAGTCCAGTCATGACTGAAATTGCAACTAAAAGAGATGAGCATTTTGCTGAAACACAAAATTGCATCGGCTCAGCAATCTCAGCGCTAGGTGCAGCAGTTTCAATGATCCTAGAGAATCCAGAAGATGGCATAGATCAAGAAGCGTTAATGAAATACTTATGTGATGCAGGGAAGTTATTAACGGACACATTTTATCAACATTTAGTTGCTCGTAGAGCTTACATAACCCCGTTAATGAGTAAATCAATTAGACCAACTATTGATGCTACCAAAGCTGACGAGTAGCCGTACAGAAAAAAATTTGCGGAAAATGTCAAAGAAGCCAAAGATGTTGAAAAAGCGTGTTCCAACATTAAACCTACAGCCAAGGCAACAAGTTCAAAACCAAGGGATCAGGGAAACTCGAAATACCCACCTGCAAAATACAGGCAGGTGGGGAATCAGAGCAAAAGGCCCATGATAAAGTTCAAACCCAGAACCCAGCGAGTCAGCTTAAATCAAACGAAGTCCTCAAGCAGGCCATCGAATCGGTACTTCCACATAAGGAAGTAAATGAGGTAAGCGCACCAGCTAGTCGGTTAAAATTGTTTACCAAGGAATGGAAACAAATAACCTCTGACAAATTTATTTTGCAATGTATAAAAGGGTATAAAATACCGTTTAGAGAGACTCCAGTCCAATATAGACCACCCTTAGATCAACATTGGTCTGAAAGCGAATTTATAAAACTAAAATCAGAAGTCTACAAACTCTTAACCAAAAAGGTGATAGAGTGTTGTGATGAAGAAGAGGGACAGTTTATTTCCTCCTATTTCCTAGTAGATAAACCTGATGGTTCTAGCAGATTTATTATCAATTTAAAAAATTTAAATGATTTCATAGATACCCTCCATTTTAAAATGAAAGACATTAAATTTGCCAAACATTTAATATCAATGGGTTGTTTCATGTGCTCCGTTGATCTAAAGGATGCGTATTACTTGGTTCCCATTCACAAATCATTTAAAAAATTTCTACGATTTAAATTCCAGGGACAAATGTTCCAATTTATGTGTTTACCATTTGGGCTATGTACAAGCCCCTTTGTATACACAAAGATTATGAAACCAGTAATAAATAAAATTCGAGAGTCTAGAATTCTGTCAGTCATATATATTGATGACTTATTATTGATCAGTAAATCGTATGAATCTTGTAGAAATAATTTGAATTACGTAACGGATCTGCTGGAGTGCCTGGGATTTATTATTAATTATCAAAAAAGCTCTCTAGAACCTAGTCAAAGATGCAAATACCTTGGCTTCATAATTAACTCAACTGACTTCACATTAGAACTAACAAATAATAAGAAAAAACAAATAACTTCACTAGTAAAAACCTTCAAACAAGACAGATACTTTAAAATTAGAGACTTCGCCAAACTGCTCGGGACTTTAACTGCAGTTTGCTCAGCTGTGGTATACGGTTCAATTTATTGTAAAAGACTTGAAAGACAAAAATATCTTGCATTAATACTAAATGATAACGATTACGAAGGGAAAATTCACATGAATAAATCAATGATAGATGAGCTACGTTGGTGGGAAAGAATCGTCCCAACAGGCTCCAACCCGATAAGAACTCAAAAATTTGAGTTAGAAATATCCTCAGATGCATCTTTGACTGGCTGGGGTACACACTGCAATGGTAAAAGCGCGGAGGGCTTTTGGACGAAGGAGGAAAGAAAACATAGCATCAATTACCTAGAACTTCTAGCAGCCTACTTTGGCTTAAAATGTTTCGCAGGAAAGGTGGTTGAAAGTGAAATATTACTGAGAATAGACAATACGTCTGCTATATCGTACATTAACAGAACAGGCGGTATTCAATATCCGCATCTAAATGAACTAACGAGAAAAATCTGGCAATGGTGCAAAAGAAGAAAAATCTGGATTCATGCTTCTTACATACCATCAGTACAGAACAAAGAAGCTGATAGAGCATCACGAATAACTAACATAGACACTGAGTGGGAGCTGTGTAGTAGTGCATTTGAGAATATAAATACAGAATTTGGTCCCTTTACAATTGACCTATTTGCATCAAGATTAAACAAAAAATGCTCGAGATTCTGTTCAGGATTCCCAGACCCAGAAGCTATGTCAGTAGATGCTTTCACCATCTCATGGACAAATGAAAAAATATATGCTTTTCAGCCTTTCGCACTTGCCCTTAGAACTTTAAGAAAGATAATTCTCGATAAAGCAGAGGGGACGGTTGTTCTCCCACTCTGGCCAACACAACCGTGGTACCCTCTTTTTACATCACTGCTCACATCGCCACCTATCATTTTCAAACCTAATAAAGACTTATTAATATCCCCGTCTAGGAAAGAAACACACCCACTAGCGCTGAAGCTTTCACTAGTGGCAGGGAACTTATCCGGAAAGCTTTCAGATGTAGGGGAATAGATAATGCATCAACAGAAATTATGGTTAATTCTATAGCCGCATCAACGTTAAAGCAGTATCAGGGCCCTTTAAAGCTATGGTGGGACTTTTGTGTAGAAAACAAAATATCAATGTTTGAGGCCAACACTTCAGATATTTTACGGTTCCTAACGGGTAGATTTGACAAGGGTGCAAGCTACGGAACGTTAAACTCCACTCGGTCAGCTATTTCTCTCATCTCCTCACGAGATATAGCGAAGGACAAATTAATCTCGAGATTCTTTAAGGGAGTACATAGGGAAAGGTCCCCAAAACCTAAATATTCAAGTACTTGGGCTACAGCAACAGTTCTGCATTACATTGAGCAGCTGCCTCCACTTAACCAACTAAAACTAAAAGAAGCAGCTGAGAAAGTTGCTACATTACTAATATTAACAACAGCACATAGACTTCAAACAATTACATTAATTAACATTAAGAACATATTCACTAAGAAATCTGGAATCTCGATCAAGATTCCTGACCTGATAAAGACATCTAAGCCCGGTAAAAATCAGCCGAAACTTATCTTACCGTTTTTCAAAGAAAAACCCAGCATCTGTGTAGCTTCGGCAGTATTAAGCTACATAAAAATAAAGGAAAAATTCAGGAATGGAGAAAACAACAGATTATTCATATCATCCAACAAACCCTATACGAACGTATTCGCTCAAACAGTAAGCCACTGGATAAAATCCTTACTATCAAAAGCAGGAATTGACACAGATCAATTTACTGCTTACAGCACAAAGCACGCAGTAGTATCCATGGCATTCAGAAAGGGAGTGGACGTAGATACAATTAGAAGGACAGCAGGCTGGTCTCAAAACTCCAAGGCCTTTGCCAAATTCTACAATCGACCAATCCAGGACAATGACACCTTTGCTATATCAGTTCTAAATGTATAACAGTTATGAAAAAAAAAAAAAAAAAAAAAAAAAATTACTAATGGATACATATGAGTTTTCAGTTTACGCGAAAAGTCTACAATTTATCATCTTCGAACGAGACGCTTCGTATAATTACGATCGAACTTCGCCCGCCTTCGGCGGGCTCGGGCTAGTTGTCCGAAATCATTAAGAACCGAAGTATCTGAGTTGTCGTTTGAAATCACCAAGAAATCAAAATCATAGTTCAGAATCGTCGGAATATCATAGTTGTCCGAAATAATTAAGAACCGAAGTATCTCAGTTGTTGTTCGGAATCGTCACGGAATCAAAATCATAGTTCAGAATCGTCGGAATATCATAGTTGTCCGAAATTGCCGTTGTTCAAGAATTGTTAAATAGTTAACTATCGAGTTTTATTGCGAATTCCAGGTATTGCTAGCTTTATTCAGAAATTTGTAATTAATTGTATTTGCCATAATAAAAAGATCGTGCGCGGGCCTTAATAATAAACAGTAACGTAATTTAACAAATACTTAACTGTAATTATTTTCCTAAAATCATTCGATGGGTTCGCAAAGAGAAAAAGGAACAAATTATAGTTAAATCATCTATCTTTTCGATTCATGATCGAGGCGTTGAAGCCGGTCATTTAGAAATCCTAAAAATAGAAACATTGCTCGGCCGTGGGTTTCTTTCCGGCATCTTACTCAGGTTCAAAGTCATTTTCGTGCTTGCTGTAAGGGTCGATTGAGGCGTCGAAGCCAGTTTTCCCGAACAGTAGCCACGGATTTGATTAACGCGGCTCAATTCCGATCCAAGGTAGAGCGGATATTCCGGTCAGGGTCGAGGCGTCGCACAGTAAAGTATTTGCACCGAATATGCGGCCAAAATTCAATTTCAAAAATTTCACCTAGGCTAAAAATTTGTTGTTGTTCAAGGTAGTCAAATATGTGGAGAATAATGTACCAATATTGTTTTTTCCATTTATGTACTCATGAAGCAGTGTGCCTAGTTCAAAGTTACAAGTTTTTGTGGTATACATTTTTTCGTCAGCCGTCTTGTGAAACAGCGTCGGCTTATAAGCGATTTTCAAATGTTTTAATTAAATAATATACATTCTTGCATTATGGAAAATGCTAAAAAAAGTCTATACTATACTTTTCAGTAATTAGAACTTTTTAATTTTACATATGTGCATAGTTAGTATATTTTAAAAATAATCAAGAATTCAATCATTTTTTTTACGATTCTAAAACTTTGTTAAGGAATTTGTTATACTTCCGTGTACGTCCGGGTGCTTATCTTGGTGTCATTAAATGCGGAAAAGCTTTCCGAACATAATGAGACCAAAATTGGTTCCGTATACGTCCGGTTACAGTTTTTAGAGCTATTTGAATTAGAAACGACACGAGCAGTAGCGTATCCCGAATGCTTGTTTGTTGGCGCTTGCTGTTAAAACCTCCGATTTTTTACAGGAATTTTTATAATTCTTTATTATGAAGTAAATGAAACGTTAAATTAATAAAAAAACTTGTTGTTTATTTGTAATAATTTATTTCATTGTTATAGCCACATGAAATTTTGTCCTTTTTTCTCACGGTTGACACGATAACTTGACATTGGATATGCGTTGAGCAACTGAGACGTGCATTTGTTGCTCTGACATTGTAAATGTTACTGTCAAACTTGTCTGAACTCAACAATGCCATGCTCTCCCCACTCTTGACATCCTAAACAATACACTGTAGAAGTTCTCTATTTTCTGAATGCATTCAGAATTCAGTTTTATTCAGTTTATGTTTTGTGTAGTTCATGTTTAGTATATATTTTTGCTATACTCATTAAGTGCGATTGATTAAGTTATTTGGTTAAGTTTTTATTTAAGTATTTTCTTTTTTTATTTCCACATTAAAGTTCATTTAATTTATACGTGGTGAGTACACTTAAACACGTAACTATATTTTTTCATGCAATTTGTGAGTTGTGAATTTTATTTACCTGCAATATTTTAACATATATATATCAAAATGTCTGACAATTCTTCGAAACCAACTTCCGGGCCGTCTGGAGTTAAAGTAATGACTCGAAGACAGTTATGTAATATAATGCAGGAACGAGGCAACGAAAATATTAATAACAAGCTGGAATACTTGGAACAGTTCCTCTTAAATCAACAAAATTATTCCAACGAAGAACATCAAGGCTTCAAACACATAATGTCATATTTCCAAACAGATTTTAAACGCAAATGGAGGTGTGCATCTTATAAAACACATCCTTTTTTTTTTTAAAAAAAAAAAATGAAAAGTAGCTTCGAGGAACGATTGAAATTCCTACATCGCAAATTCGTTCCAGTCGTACAATAAAATCATTTTTAGATTTATCAGAACGCACCAAACGAAGGAAAACAGAAAGTCTTCGAAAAAAACACAAGTATTGATGAGTTGACATTTGCTGCTCAGTCGAAATTAAGATCTGAAGACCTATTAGATGCTTCATTTCTATTGAAAGAAGTTACGAGATCTCCTACACGCGCAACAAAATATCGGAAAATTCATTTAACTAGAAAAATTGAAGAAGAAAAGGAAAAATTAACAAACCTGCAAGCTCTTGCTATATTTGTAGAGGAAAGATTATCAAGGAGACAGTATGAAATAGTTAGGATGTCGGACAAGAAATTATGTCCGTGTTATTCCATTCTTCGGAAGTCGAAAACGGATTGCTAGCCTGTTAAAGAAGCATACACAATCACAGAATCCTATGCCGAAGTAAATCTACAAGATTTATTCAATCACACAGTTACCCGGTTATTATCCTATTTAGAGGAAGTTGTAAACAATTGCAATGAAAATGAAACTTTCTTACATTTAATAAGTAAATGAGGATGCGATGGATCGCAACAAACACAATACAAACAAAGATTTATAGAAAACATTAATTTGGACGCCAACATTTTTCAAACATCATTTGTGCCCTTACAATTAGTTTCAAAAAATGAAAATATAATTTGGCAAAATCCAACGCCATCGTCTCCACGGTACTGTAGACCAATTAGAATTAGATTCATTAAGGAAAGGAATGATGTAACAAATGAAGAAATAAATTATATGCAGACAAAAATAACTACTTAATTGACACAAAAATTGAAGGAAATAAAAACATATTCGTTTCGCACACCATATTGTTTACAATGGTTGATGGTAAGGTGTGTAATGCTGCTACCAGTACAAAATCCACGATGAAATGTTTTATTTTCGGTGCTACACTTGCAGAGTTTAACGACTCGAAAAAAACTAGGGAAACAAATCCCGACACATTAAGGTTTGGATTGTTACGAGCCAGGGCGATAGCGACGCGCGTATGAGCCCAGCGAGTGGGATAGATTTGAGAATTGAACCAATACGATTAATTATTGTGTATCAATGGTGCCGAAGGCTGATGATAGATTAGACAATGCAGACGACTCTGACGCGAAGTCAGATAGTTGCAGGAATCGGTATCTCCCAGTGACGGGGAACCGTAGGTTAAGGTGTTTGGTTGTCTTGGTTATTGGAGACAAACGCAGACGCCTCTGACGCGAAGTCAGGTAGCTGCTGGGAATTGGTATCTCCCAGTAAAGAGTAACCGTAGAGTAAGGTTCGAACTGTGAGGTTGTTGGAATAAGTGCAGACGACTCTGACGCGAAGTCAGATAGCTAGCAGGAATCGCTATCTCCCAGTAAATGGTAACCGTAGGATAGGTTAAGTTTAGGAGTTCGGGTTGAGTACACAATGACTAAATCGTATCGTTAAAATGTAACACGCGTCGTTAATAAAGCCTCGTAACTTGTTAATTTAATAGAATAATAACTCGAGCGGTAAAGTTATTATGTTGTGGGATCGTTACACTGGCTAGGATTGGTGATTTCAAAGTAAAGGTTTGATGATTGATCTTACAGACTTTTAAGTTTACACAAAGAGTACATATTCAAAAATAACTATACTAATTACAAGTGTCCAGTGTCGTGTTGTCGCGGTTAGTGTATGAAGTTCAAATTACCTAAGTGTTGCGCGGTGTTGACGCACTGGCGATGCGGGGGTCGAGAGTACTTTTATGGCCGTAATAGATTTTAAAACCGTCTTCGCGGATCTATATGGTAACGATGATCGAAAGGAACTGAAGCCCGATCTCACTAGAGTACTACTCTACAGACGATCAATGTGTCTCTAACGAGTAACTCTTACGTACTAGCCCCCGAGCAACGAAAATCGTGGGTTTATATACCCCTAAATATTGGTGGGGTACCGCCAGTGATTTCCATATTAGGAAATTTGACGGTTAGGATTTTCGTTGCTCTGAGGTCGGCAGCTGTGTGCCCTGGGAAAAGGGTAGATTAGAAAGTATCCCACGCAACGCGAGTCAAAGATGATATTAAGAGGATGCAGCTGCAGGATGTACTCCAGTGAGACCGAGCTCCAAATTCCAGGAGGGTAGATAAAATAAAATTGATGAACGCGAGCTTCTAAAAACGGAGAGTTTCTGTATACGTAACAGGATTATCGATATTGCATGCTCAGATAAGATTATTCGTAAGCCTACTACATCTGTCATATAAATTGCCACTAAAGAAGTGGCAAATAAGAGGACAAAGCGAAAAATGTATCGTAGAAGAAAGGAAGAAAAACATACAACAAGAGTTTAAAAGTAAAATGGGCCTCATTGTAGATGTTCCAAAACCTGGATTTGGAAATTCCAATGATGGAAACACAAGTCGCAGATTTTTTGCAAATCATTTACTATCCGCATCAATAACACAAATTAATGTACAATTCATATATAGATTAAAAGTAATATTAGACGCCATCTAAGGAGCCATAAAATTAATGTTGACAAATTTGCTGCATATGCTTCGGAAACAGCCAAATTATATATTGAATTATATCCCTGGCACCCGATGACACCCACAATGCACAAAATTTTAATTCACGGTGCAGCTGTAATAGAACGTGCTATTTTGCCCATTGGTCAGCTGTCTGAAGAAGCAGCTGAGGTAAGGAACAAGCA